GGTCGGGGTCTGAAGGAATCTGCAAGTGGTTTGTCTGGAGAATTTGAGGGACACCGCAGCGAACCGACAGCATTGGCATTCCTGTGATCATTTTTCATCAAGTCGGTAGGCCTCAGTTAGACTTTATACTCCTTCAAATTAGGCCCAAATACTGTCCACCATCCATTTTCTGAATAACTTTGTGCGCAATACGAGTTTGATATGGATCAGTGACATTCACTTCGGTTCCTGTATGTGGATGAAAGTACCTGAACCGCTTGTGTCTACCAAAACAAACTGGGGAGAGATTAGACTTAAAACGTGATTGAGCTTCAACCAGAAGTAACATGCATGCTTTGGGGGATTCGATCTTATGATCCAATCGAACGTCTGAAAGACCAATCCAGATATTTTCTTGCTAAAGATCACGAANCTATCCAAACCAGTAACCAGCTGTTTCGTAAAGATAACCCAAAGCTGCAATTATGTGCAAACAATGGCTACAGGAGTACTGTTTCAAATCGACCCCAAGGAATAGAGTGACGCACAGAAAACGAACCCCAAAGGAACAGAATATTAGCTTGGCAATCTGCGGGGACTGAGATACAGATAAACTGACAACTGGTACATACCTCAAGTTATGTGTAATGCGACGCTAGAACCGTGCAACGTATGGCAAAATGAAGCGGGACATCACGTCAAGGCACGAGGATCGCAGAACCATATGTTTATAGGAGTAAACCAACCATTCGCAGTCACTCAGTCCAGGTGTGCGGTTGTTTGTGAATAATGCATATACGGTACGTAGAACAAGTAATCGAACGACGTTCATACAATCGCAGCTAGCAACCGACTGATAGTAAGTAGTCAGTCAGATAAAGCTTTTCCTGTAATTCCTTTGTGGGCTTTAATCATAAATACTGTTCCTCACTAGTGGACATATTTCTCGCCTGTGGAATCACCCATGATAAGGGTATTTAGTCAAAGTAATCGGAGGACCCATCCAAGTATGACTGATTCCTGAGACATCTATAGCGAGTTGATCTGAGCAACCGAAATGTTGATATACCCTGAAACTCCCAATTAGTGATTAATTAGTCAATTAATCGCATGCGTTCCCCAACATAGATTGTTTTGACGAATATCTACGCTTTTCAACTATCAAGTGAGACAGCACATGAGGCTGGCCGTACATATTTATGTTTAACATCAATCTTTACAGGTACCTCACTAAACTGAGTTAGACAGGCAACTGATTTGAAAATGAACCCCGCACCATGAATAATGTAATATGTTTGAATACACTTTTCTGATGTTGATTTATAAAAAACGGATCCATGGAAGCTGCATCGTCACACCAAGACACCAGTAAAAGATGTACATTGCGTTATCTTCGTGCTATGATTGGGCGCAGAATCCTACCAAATGTAAACACCACTCCAGACGTGTTCTAACAGTTTCGGGCTTTACATTCTTTCTTGTGTTCCTGGCCAACCTCTGTTGCCATTTGGCGTAAATGAGACCACACACACAAAATAAAGTTGCTGTCAGCTTTTGAACAAGCATTGTAAAAAGTGATCCGATTTCCTCCATAATCGTACGGAGAACATAACCAATGGAATTTTGTCAATATAACCTGCCCTCAGAAACCACACCCTGACAGATAAAGGGTGGCGCATTTCACTACAGTGATAAAATGACAGATGAGCTCCGTATGGCATAGGCCATACACGCCGAGGGCATATACATTTTCTTACTGCTAACGAATTGTGATCCGTAATACTTTACTTATCTAAAATTGCGCAACCAATCTGATCTTGATGCGCCTCTAGGGGAGCTTATTTTTCTCCCAATCAGCGAAAAGGTAAATCCGATGGTATTTGTTTAATAGTAGATCGATGCATCCGAAAAAAATAATACATATTCTAGCTGCGAGAGGTATTCCCCCTTGAATCCGTGCTGGAAAGTGAAATTATTATTAAGTCTGATCGTAGTTCATAATCAAATATATGAATTCTTCATGGTGGCGTAACAGTTTCCAATTATGTCTGAAAAATTCCCATCACCGCATTTCGAACAAACACAATTTGGCGAAATAATTGTTTTTTCAGTAATTCTTTCTCAAGGTTACATAGGAAACATTAGAAAACAGATCAGTTAGACACATCATCAATCACGGGTAAGAGTCTGTCATAGTCAACTGGCATCTGTTATTTGTCTGGTTTAACTAAGTTACGGCCTCAAGGTGCCTGGACGGCGGACACGCTCGGGCCTGCTCGATCACGGGCCACGGTAGTTGGAGTGACTGAACCAAATACTTTTGGGCGCAGGGGTCAACTTTCCTATCCCGATCGCTTCGCCTATTGCTAGAGTGCGCAGTTGAACACCCTTGCACTTGGTGGGGGACACGCTAAACAACTTTGAAGGCGACGTCCGGTGTCGACTAAATGGACTAGTATGGAGCTGTTTGTTGATCTGGTCTGTCCTAGTCCAGCGTGGGTGATGCTCTTTGATCCGGATAGATAGCTGTCGTGCCGTTCGGCCAACATAAGAAGCGCCACACACACATCTGAAAGAGAATACAACCACTGATGAGGTCAGCATTCGAATTACCCATACAACTTACAGAGGCATGTGGCATCCACCAGTTAGCATATAAGCTGACTGCCTCGACAGGTTTTCCTTAGAATTCATCGGAGTCCACCGAATGGACATCTAAAGAAAGGTTAATTGTGCAAATGGTTGTTTGGCAGATTAAAGTTTTATGTTGAGATTGTGAAAAGTTGAGTAGCTCGGTGAGATTCAAACTCACACATGGACGCGGCCTACGCTTCTGTACAGCTACCAGCTGAGCTACGAGGTCACATCGATGGCACTGATGGAACGTGAAAAGATCTACTGGCTATATTACAGTGGGCTGACTAACAGTTCGGACCAATCGTGGTTGTTTCCGCCATCAATAACTGTGTTAACAATGCACTGAACTGGGAACTCATTTCCCCTAGGGTCGCAATGGCGAGTTGATAGGAACTTGGTAGGTTAGACATTTACTCTTATTAATTGCACAGTTGTGTAACGCAAAAAAACTTGGGTCAAGTCGTTAAAATACGTAGTCGAGTGGTAAATGATAAACTTGTCATTCGTAAGTCTAGTAGGCACATCCAGGCATTGGGATGGTCCGCGGTTGGGTTTCTCTAAAAGCAGGTCCATAGTCGCATGATCTACCTGTTTGGATTTCTCTGAACAGAAATTGTTTGTATATTCATAAATCTCAAAATAAGTCTCCGTTTATTGTCAGAGACAGGTTACTTCGTTCATTCACACCTATGCGTTACACCGCTCAAAAGATAAAACAAACCAAGTATTCTGGTACAAAACACATTTATTATGTACACAGTGTAAAAAGGACCACTTTATCGACGACCCTTTGAACGTCCTCGATTTTTCTTCTGACCAACTTTTCGGGCCTCGGATCGCATTTTGGCAAGCTTTTGTGGAGTGGCTTGATGTTTGCTTGGATTGAATTCGCGCAGGAGTCCGGTACCAAACGATTCCCTATTGTTCCGTTTGGCCCGCTTTTTCTGACCACCGTGGCCGTATTTTTTATTTTTATAGTCCCGTTGGCGGTTGACTCTACGAGGCAAAAAAAAGAACCGAAGGGAATTACGCATCAGAGGAAAGAGATGAAAGTTTCGTAAACCAATTTCGACTACTGACTTTTTCACAGTATGTAAATTGGTTCCAGGAAAATCAGGAGAGGACGTACGTGAGACTCCTCAAATTTGTTTTGCTGTCCGTCCCTGAGCCTGATCGCTTCCATTCTGGCAACATGTTAACTTGAACGTAAAAGCACGAGTAAACCAATCGAATGCCGCACACCGCGAGCGCAGTGCTACTTTACACGCCACTATGCATACCTCTCACAAATATACTTAAGTAACCTAGCTTTGGATAGAAATACAAATGAGAAAAAAAAGCATTACGATTTACTTAGGATTTGTGTAACAGCCAACGCAACACACAAATTTAAAAACTAAGATTCGTCGATGTTTGACGTTTTTGAACCCCTTGTGCACGGTATATAACGCGTCATCTCTACTGTATTGCGATCAACTTGCAATATCCACTGGAAAACAAAGTAGCTCAACTATCTCTTTAGGCTAATCCGTCAGCACAGCTCCCGTTACATGACTTGTGACGGAGCTGAAAGCAAACCCCGCATTGAGCGGATGAAAGGACCAATCCGTCCTTGTGATTCTGATGAACCGACGTGACTGACAGCGCAATGTTTCCCGCCGAGAGGCGATCATAAGAGAGTGAGAACAAAGTTGTCCTTTAGAGATAGTTATTTAGTACTCAGGACAGAGTCCAGTGTTTAAGCCGATACTATAGTCGACTTGAAAAGTACATTATTTTATTACACACCCTAATTAGAATTGATATCGACCACTCGTCTAATGGATTTTTTTCAACCAGCGTAAAAGTATGTTCGCTCCGACATTTGAAGAAACACAGCGATTCGATTCAATTTCACAGAACACCCAAAAATCTGTTAGCAATATACATGCAACGCATTCCATAGTTTTTCAGATGCATGAAACCAGAAAATATGCCTTTTAAACAGATTATTTAACTTTGATAAACGAGTGGGAAAGCTCTCGATACATCTTTGTGCATGCTCTCTTTCACCAGGTTTCAATGCACGAACGCTTTGTGTTGGCTCCTACTTGTTCTTTGACCGGGTTTTCAAATGCACCGAAACGATCAACTAGGTAACCCTGATTTCAGATTTATTTTCGACATGTGAACTGGGAAACTTCATTAAGAAAACCATGCTGAAAACTTAGTGTTCAATGAAACACACTTTCTCCGATTGGCGATATCTTTGGCGCGATGGAAGCTTATCTGTTTGGATGTCTTCTTCTGGTTTGGTTTTGGCTCATGTTCCTCGCGGAATTCATTCAGGATGCTGTCCAAGAGTTCCGCACGATTATGTCCTGATAATGGGAAGGGGATATACGATGGGATGTGAATAAAGGAAAGTGGAAATATGGCACTACAAGAAACAGATCCGTGCCTCCTAATGGAGAACGACGGAAGCTGGTGGAGCCATCATCATTGCATGCGTAGTTGTCAGAAACATTGAGCTATGAATCGCAAATATATTGAGACCAATATACACAGGATTTGTACACTCCCCGAAGTGAATCAGTAGGAAATCTGACTCTCACCGAATGAAGTTCCGCGTTTTCTCTCTGTATTTTTTGAATATTAAGAGCGAAGCGCGTTCGGCGCATTCTTGGTTATCCGTATTTGAATGCAGAAATCGCCTGTTTAATCCCCGTATGTCCAACGTGTGGTTAATCGCAAACATTATAAACAGCCAAAAAAACAATCAACATGTTCATCAATATATTAGCTAGTACTCTGTGGAAATCGACGGCGGAAAAAGATCTGCAACTTTTAGAAATAATAAACGAATTACTATACTTCAAGTTTGACTTACAGTTACTTGTGATTTTGTTTATGGTCGTTTGATCAGGCAGATCTCGTCCGTACACCGAGGAGTCGTTGTTTTTGCATGTTGTACGCTATCTTACTGGTTGACTTCAAATGGGACGTGGTCACTGATTTACGCCTCATCTTTGTAGAGGCACATTGGAGAGTTAGGAACACCACGGAGACCAAAAGGGCAGAACACTGCTCAAGAGATACAGTAGTAGGCTACTAGCTTAAACGTGAGACTCATAGTAGATAACTACTATACCTTTACGATAGGCTACGTTGCTTCAATCGATGTTCACATTTAGGTGTCATAGAATCAAGTTCTTAGAGTAGGTAATGAAAAGTAGCGAATCAGTAAACACACCGAAATAATCTAGAGCAAAAAATCAGTCATCATCCTAGAGGGATGGTGTTTAACCATTCGTAAAGCTTTGCCTGTGACCTGGGAATTTATTCATTAGGATGAATAACTCGTGACTTCGACTTCTAACTTAGAAAAGTTGGCTTGCTTTCTTCGTAGACCGCTTAGGCAAAATNAAAATATGGTTCTTTGGTGTTGAACTTCAGCAGGAGAAGTAGACCATTCAAAAAGCCCCCTATGGCTGTGAGGTAACTTGATATACATAAAATAGGAGGAGGTAATTGAGTGTTCAATATCAGTTTTTACAACCACTGACTATGCGTTTTCCAGGGCCGGTTTTGGTTGCTGTCTTATACCTACCCGTGAGACTCTATTGACAAGGAAAATTGTTGTAAACGGCTTACAGAGACAAACAAGATGAGTGGAAGTTATGGATAGTTATTTCGCGTTTTTTGGCTTTCAACTCGTACGTTGTTCTGATATATTTTGCAATTGATATAATTCAGTCAATGCGAATGGAATGTGAAACGTGATACCTTTGGCAAACAAACCCTCGGACAGAGCAGAACAAACTTGAAAATAATCAATAACTAATTTGGTGCTAATAATTAACTGGTGCTCCCGATCAAACCGTGTCGCTAAAATCGACAAATGCCTTTCAGGAGAAAGGAATGCAGACTGAGGCCCGCATCTGATTCGGATTAAAAGCAGAAGTATATAAAGCTATAGCATCAAGTGTTTAAGCGATTTCACAAACGACAAGGACCGGAGTAGTGAATCTCAAAAGCAAGAATATACTAACTATGAAGTATGCAGGAGGAAATAGATGTAAGTTAACAATAAAAGACTTATTTTGAGAACGTATTTACAAGCCGTGTTTTGTATATCCGTATACCGACACCAATGAAGGTTGCACTAGATACTTAAGTTGTAGCCGAAATCTGAGTATCGTAGACGAGACAAGACTCTCCCTTCCATCCCAAATGCCAAAAACACAAACCAACGGCGTTCGAATGAAATGATATCCAAAAAATGACAATGCAAGTGGAAGATTAGAAAATCGGAAAATTACAAAACCGGGGTAGGTCAACATAAATACGAACATATATTGAAGACACAACAAATGAGATTTCGGTGAAAAATAACACATTTAACCAACCAGATTTTTTTCGCGATGCCTTAATCGCCTCGGTCAATTGTCGTTTTTCTGTTTTACGAGCTTGTAAAACTGCCTGTTGTGTTTGTTTGCCGAATTTGCGTTTCTCACGCATTTGGCGAGCGCGTTCGCGCAAAGCTAACCGTTGCTGAGTCTCGACTAGGTGTCGTTTAACCTGTGATCATAAGAGAAAAGTAATTAAAATGCATTACAATTTACGAAGTAGTAATTCTATGAAATAGATTCTTTCTCACGCGAAAGAATAAGGCTTTGAGATACACGAGTTATTGGTACAGATTAGCATCAATTTTGTGTGCGAATCTATTGCTTAGCAGGGAACAAAAACAGGGCACACGTTAATACAACTAAAACCTTCTCTTTACTGATAATATCCATTAGGATGATACTGCATCTTGACGTGATGATGGCTTCCATTGATATGACTCAACGAGCAATACAGAAAGATTCAGTCAAGTCGGAAGATTAAATTATATCTGTGAGGGTATTAGTTAGACAATTTCCCGTCTTCCTGGCTCTCTAGGTGAAAAGTTCGAAATGAATGGGCGTTTCAATCCGTGAGAATGATAAATTATAATTATTTCTAGAGATGGACCTCAGCTTTGTTGTTTTGCGCTAAGGTTCTTGTTAGAGCCAAAGTTTTTGGCTGAGAACCATAACCATTCTCCTGTTTAGATTATTTTTTTATTACACACCCTAGCGTACTTAACAGCAGTCTGGGCAAACCCTATAAAAAGCGAGGTCATGTAGTTCATCCATTGAAACGGGCGACAAGCCACGGGACTTGAGGTGGTGAATCATAAGGTCCTACTAGGTTCGGTGGTAGTGAGCGATCGACAGCAAAACTGTCTATCACCCAAGTTGGGTGAAGGAGTTCAAACCTCGGTCACTGGGGTCCAAAGAATTCCGGTAACTGCGACTTTGTAGAACCCGCCCACTAAGATTAAATGAATACATAAAC